GTGAACCTGAAGCGTTAGGAATTTGAAAGTTGTAATCTCTGAATTATTGGTAAAAATACATTCTACTTGATTTTTCCAGGATGCCAATTAATCATCCTTCCCCATCCTGTTTTTTTAAACAAGTTTCTGAAAAGGCACTTAATCTTTATACCACTTCTAGACCTCAGAGAAACCACACATATATTTACCATCCCATCAGGATATCAAGTCTGTATCAGCTCAGAGAAAATTCTCCAAGCAGTTTACACAAAACTTTACTCTGGTCTTGGTTGGACCCAGTCCAATGTTCAAACCAACATACAGTATTTAAGGAAGGAGTTTTTGCCACACTAATTTTATAGGCTGGTAAATGGAGGTGACACACCCAGAATTAGAGAAATCGGTAGACTTGAAGTGATGATAGGGAGAGTAAAAAGCATAGGTTAAAACTGGAAATTGTTTCAAAGAAAAATCCATAGAATTGAGTCAGGATATAGAACATACTAGATATAACATATAGGGATGAAAAGAGAGTGGGCAGACTGAGAGAGCTAACTTCAAAGAAGACCCCAGAGTTTCTGGTCTACAGTGATAGTGACAGCTTTGACAAGGAAGCAAGCTGGGAAAATGAGCCTGGTGAGTGAGTAGGTAAAGAATTTAACTTAGTTTTTGACATGGAAACACAGAACACTAGACCTGGAGAGACTTAAGTGATCTGGCTCAACTCATAAGTTTTGATAGTGACTGTAACCTTGGCAAGCCAGCCATGTAGCTAAAGTACTCTCACCAAATTCTAGCCAGATAGTGTTGACTGTAAAGGTTCTGAGCATAAGAAATGCTCTTTCTGCTCAAAAGGGAGATGTCAAAGACATATTACCACAAGCTCAGACTTACTTCTTTCCATAATTAAAAGAGAAAAGTTCTAATTAGAAAAGAATAGCTTTCTCCCTGTGTGATTTGGTGTTACTTAACTTGGCCCGTGGGTACTCAGAGCTCATTTCCCAGGGTGCAAAGTGTCTTTGAACTCCATCAGCGTGAATCTGCCTGAGTTCTGCCTTGTTATAACTCCAGTTCTGAGTTACTCTTCAAATGTTTATTGAGCTCCTACAACTTGTAAAGCACTGTACTAGATGCAGTGAGTGGCACAAAGAAATATGAGACATGGTCCCTACTCGAAGTAGATTATAACCTAATTAGATAACACGTAAAAAGATAAAGAACATATCATATTGGTAGTTTAGTATTACTTGAATAAACAGGCAGTAATTCTTGGAGATCAACGGAGAAATTACTATGACCCTGAGTGGTCAGGGAATGCTTCACAGAGGAGGTGAAATTGGTCCTGCCTTGAAGGAGTTCTTGGATCTTGAAGAGGCAGTGAAGAGTTGGGAGCTCATATCAGCCAGGAGGAATGGATTGAGCAAATGTAGCAAATATGAGCCAACTGGACTAGAACGTTCCTAAACAGTGGAATCCAAACTTGTTTAGCCTGGCCTTTAAAGCCCATTAAAAATATTTCCCTCACTTCTCCAGCCAGACTGGTCAAGTTGTTGTCCTTTATATACACCCAAGCCCTTTTTGTAATTTCTTATCAACTACTTTACACCTATTTATGTCCCACCTATCCTTGCCATATTTGATGTGATGAAATCCTAGACCACCCACATCCTCAGTGATCACTCGCTGCTCTGAAACTTCATAATCCTTATTACTTGTATAATTCACATTACTTTGAACTATTTACTACTTTATGAACTCATTCTGTCTCCCCAGTTAGATTATAAACTCCTATTCTGCCTCCTTTGCTGACTCTTTTCTTCTCTGAATCCCTAAATGCAAGTGTATCTTAAAGAGCACTCTCCATGGGATCACGCCCTCCCCTGGGGTGATACAGTGAAAAGCACAAGGGTCAGAAGCTCTGTCCTGGTTCTGCCACTAACTAGTTGGTTGATGACTGGTCAGGTGTTTTGACATCATAGGATTTCACTGTTCTTATTTGTAAAATGAGAGGGTAGAATTAGGCTTTTCTTCCTCGTGTTTTTGGCTTTACCTTTTTCTGATTGTAAAAGCCACATTCTTATTCTTATAAGTTAGAAGATCATAAAGAAGGAAGGGGTGGAGGGCAGTTACAAACCTGCCACCCAGAGTGCACACTTTATATTATGATGAATATATTTTAACTCATAAACAGATATATATTCATTTAGGGAGTTAGAAGTATGGTACTTTCCAGCTCTAAAATCTTACAATTCTTTTTTGCTACTAAAGAAATCAACATAGTGTCTTTTGAAAAAGTCATCAAGATAGAGGGTACTATGTTTTAGTACTTGACTTACAAGTCAGATTATTTTAAATATATGGCCAAAGATTTCCCGTCTCTGATACTGAGCAATTACATTTAGGAAGATCCATTAATTAGGTCCTTTAGGTCTATAGAGCCCCATAATGGTTCCAGATTACCTCAAAGCAGAAACTTAGTTCTAATGTATTTACTCTAAGCCTGGAATAAGAATACAGTTCAACACACGGAAAACTTATTTCTAGAAAATTCCCTCTGCTAGAGGATTTGTTGTTCTCTCCATACCTTTGTTAGGGACACAGGTCCTGAGCCCAAAGTGTTTACTGAATGTAGAACATAATTCATGCAATGAAAAGGATGGGAGCTTTAAAATTATTGCTGGGGTCCATAAGGAAATCGTATTCTTTTAATAACAGAGTTATTTAATTATTACTAAAAATTACCAAAAGTAGAATTATTCTCTGATAAGTAATTAAATAGAAAAAGTAGGCAGGGTTTTTTTTTTTTTTTTCCTTTTTTGATTGCTACCATCTCTAACCAGTAAATGACTCAGTTTTAGATTTCTACATGTTATACTAACAGACGTTCTGGATTTTTTATTACTTTTTAAGGGAGTTTCCAAAAGATAAAATTGTTTGCGATTTTCCTGGGAAGATTAAATACACTTGGAAAACAGTCTTAAAACAGTATCAGGGCTTCTCCAAAATGAAAATTGATAATTTTCAAATGCCTAAGAAAGTATAGTAAAGCTTCCATGAACTCATTAAAAACTTAAAACTTTATACCTACAGAGTGGCACTGTATCTCATTGTTCTTTAGGTGTGTCTGTTCAGCCTGAGTTGGAATATTTAGTTCCCTTACTCTGAAAAGGCACTTCACTTGGCATCAGCTTTGGCATTTCTTGGCTTAGAGAAGTTTCACAGTGGTAGCCATGAAAATTGATTAATGAATCACATTCTTAGAAGAAACCAGTGGTCTATGGGTACTGTCCACTTGCAATAAAGTATGTTTCTTATGTACCTTTTGAAGTGGAAATTATCAGTAAACATGCAGCATAGGGCTTCAGAGTGCCAGTTTCTTGCTGATTGACCTTTAAACTCAAGTATTCACAAATAGAAACTATTTCTCTTACCTGAGTAGAAGACAGAATTTATTAATTAGGTTAACCACCCAGAAGTTTCAACCCATAGCTCACAAGTTACTAAAATTCATTTATGAACATGTTTAATTAGAGAGGGATTCCAGTGATAGGTAAAGAGTTGGGATCTTTTAGTCTTTCATCTTCTACTTTGAATACATTAATGCATATTAAGCAACATCACTAAACATTCTTTTTTTAAAAAAATTCTTTCAAGCCCTTTCCTCTCTCCTAAATAATATTTCTTTTAATCTGAAGGGGAAATGGTCTCTTTCCAGATATTAGTTATAATGCTTCATAATTAAAAGGAACTGTCATTATGGTTCCTGTTATTGGCTTATTTTAGTAGTGAAAGTTTTCCCATATGAATAATTAAAAACAAAACTTGCTGCTCTTGTTGTCTGATTCAGTTACATGAGATTAAGACAGTGTGTTTTTTTTCCTAGTCTTGTCCCATTCCCTCCCCCCACCCTAACCATTTCTTCCTGAATACTGCACTACTAGTAAGTAATTCTTGCTAAGTAAACTTTGCTTTTGTAAGGTTCAAGACTTAATTTTGTAATGTTCAAGACTTAATTTATATTTGTTCACTTATTCATTCTACAAATATTTATTTAGTGCCTGATCTGAGCCAGGCACTGCTTAAGTCTGAACTCCTCCAACCAGCTATGCATGCTGTCTCTGACCTGCCCTCCTCTCACTTACTCAGCCTTTAGTCGTCTGGCCTTAGTTCCCAGTCTTTGCTTTGTACACATCTCACCATGCTCTTCTGAAGGACCATCCCTTCCTTCAAAATGCTCTTAGAAAGAGGTCTGATAATTTATTATGTAGTTGGATTTAAGTCATTGTTTTACCTCTCAGTAGGCTTTTACATTTTGACTTTTCCTATAAATGTGAATGAAAAACTGTCTTTCAAAGAATTTAGAGCTTCCCTGTGGGAGTGTTGGAGGTATTGGAGAGGCAGAATGCTGCCTGCTAGTTCCCTTGAAATCACACCAAATGAATGGCCCCTTGCCTTTCCCTTCTGCCTTCATACTATTCATGCTTCTCAACACTTCCATAGCTGTTCAACAGTCACTCCTCCTGCCTGAACTCCTTGTACTTATTTTCCTCACTGTTCAGTTGAACCCATAACCTGCATCCTCTCTAGAGGTTTTTCTCTCTCCGTCATCATTCATTTTCCTTCTGAGTTCCTCTATTATACATAGTTACCATCACTGAGATTGGCCCTCAATTGTTCTTTGTTTCAGTGGGCTCATTTCTTTTTCCTCAGCTCTAGTGTAATCTTCAAGAACACTGATCCTGTCATCTTATTTTCTGTTTAGACAGTGCCTAGCAAAGAGACACAGTTGGCATTCAGTGAATACCTAAAGTGAAATGAGAACATGCCTTGGCCCATATAAGTATATTTATATTCTATCTAGCAACATTTTGCAAAATGAATTCATCGTTCATTAGAAGAAAGGAACATGTCATACTTAAGAGAATTATTAAAATTTCTTAAAATTAAAGAGAAAAAGCAGTCTTTTTTTTTTCTATAAATGCTAAAAATATCTGAAGAAGATTTTGATTTTTACTTAACAGGTGGTTTGTTCTGGATGCAGAAACCAGAGATCTAGTTTCTATCCACACAGACGGGAACGAACAGCTCTCTGTGATGCGCTACTCAGTAGGTAGGCAGATTTACCCCCGATCCTGACATTCCCAGTATTTCTCTGTAATTGTGTCTTTTCACTTCCAGTAAAGCTGACTACTTTTTTCTCTACGCTCTAGCGTTGTTAAATATTGAATATGATTCCCCCAACATCAGATTAAATTCTGCTGCAGGAAACCGCAAAAGATCCGCTAAAGTTAAACAACATTCTAAATCATCAAGCAAACATAAATTTAAAACAAACTGTTACAACTGCATTTGCAATTGAAAGCAGAATACAGTGCAATCAAATCCCATTTTTTTGGAACTACACATACTTAGAATTTTGAATAGGTATTAGGTTGAATGTTACAGCTATTTAGCAACCTTTTCTTTGTATATGAGAGAATATAAAATTATAGTAATATTCAAAAGACACAAGTTTTATAGGCCCTTCAAGTTTTTAAAAAGTTAGTTATGTTGTTACTGGTTACACAGTAATGGCTGGTTTGTTAATTAGATAAAATACTTAGCAACTCATTATAAGAATTTGATAAATTTGTTTAGCCTTGTTTGAATAATTCTTTGTATTTTATTCACAGTGTTAAGTTTCCTAAGATTCCAATTCCCTTTTTCCATTATTAATATGGTTTTGATTCACGTCATTCTTCCCTGGAGTTAGTGTGAGTGATATTTGCTTATATTCGAAAATATATTTCACTAGTTGTTGGATTAGTGTGGGATCCAAAGGATCTTTTTGATTGCTTCTAAGTTGTTTCAAAGGAAGCACACAATACTATTCTCTGAGTTGTACAAGGAAGGAAAAGTATTTGTTTCAAGCTATAAGCCTGGCAAGAGTTACCTTGGAGCAGAAAAGGCTTTCTGTTTCAGTTTGGCTTTTTTTTGTGCTATAGTAACAAAAAACTACTGCAAATGTAGCAATTAAAATCCAAAGATCAAGTTAGTAGACTTTATTGACCATCTGTTACGTGGTAAGTACAATGGAGGAGACCATAAAAGAAGAGAGATGGTCCCTTCCCAAGAGAACCGCCCTATAGCTGGAGAGATCATATGTGCTCGGCTGAAATGAGCAATTGTGCACTCTGCTTGTTGTATGAATACTGTGTACTTAGACCCATAAAAGTAGGTTAACCTCCCTGGGGCCAGTTTGTAGCTAACTAGGAGATGAGGCTAGAGTGAGGGGAGAGTCCAAGGCCCCTATTAGAATCCAAGAAAGGATTGTGTGCTGGAGCAGAGGACCACTTGTTTTTCAAGTGTGCTTAGTAATGGAAAGATTCATTCATTAAACACCAAATAACAGTTAAATTGATGAGATTTAACAATATTTGTAAAATATCATTTGGTATAAGTCCAATAAAATAACAATAAATAAATCTATTAATATATTTCTCTAGTCAACACTTTTTCCTGTTTCATTCTAGATGGCACCCTCCTGGCTGTAGGATCTCATGACAACTTTATTTACCTCTATGTAGTCTCAGAAAATGGAAGAAAATATAGCAGATATGGAAAGTGCACTGTAAGTAGTGAAGTAAAATAGGTTAAGTTGTAAAATTGTTGGAAAATGTTACTTCTGTTAAAAAGAGAGTTAAATATTTCCATTGATGTATCCATTGTTGTCTCTCCTTAGCTGTTTTAAACTTTAATCTCTCTCTTTGGAAACTAAGATTACCTGACAGCAGAATGTTGTAGTTCCTTGTGTACTCTAGAAAGGTTTCTCCTTTTGATGGGAGTTAATGTTTGTCTCCCTCTGACCAGTTTTAAGGCAGTTTCTTAACTTGAAGATATTTCCATAGGAAACTCTTAGGAAATAACACTTCTTGAAGATGGAGAGAGGCAGAAAGGAAAGGGTATTTCACTTTTAATCTCAATGTCCCATGATCCTGCCCATCCCTGACACTCTGCAGTTTCCTGTGTCATCTCTCTACCACTAAAAATAAAATAACTTATATGGAGTTTTGTCTGCATTAAGAGAATTAACAGAAGCATAATTCCTTAAATTTGTTGCCCATTTCTGATTGATTAGGTTATCAGTGTAAGATGAAGATTCAGTTCAGTTCTGTAGGCATGCTGAGTGCTTACCTTATGGCAGGTGCTCTGCCAACTAGAGAAACGTTGTAGGCACCGGGAATATATGTAAGATTTGTTCCTTGTCCTCGAAAAGTGCACATTCAAGCTGAGGACATGACAAGAAAGGCAGGCAGTGTAGCACAGTGGTTAGGGGCACAGACATAGGGGAGGATTACCTGGATTTTAATTCTTGTTTCACCACTTAATGGGCTAGTGTGACCTTGGGCAAGTTACTTAAACCTTCTACTTCAGTTTTCTCTTCTGTAAAATGAGGATAATTGTAGTTTCTACTTCACTGGATTAAAACAAGTTAATGCATATGAAATGCTTGGGATAGTGCTTGGCACACAATAAGTACTTAGTGTTTGTTAAATGTGATTTTTGTAGAAAATGAGGTAGCTGGAGGTGTATGTTAGGAAATTAATGTGGGACTAGCAGATCACTTAGAGAATTGGTGGCACAGATCCTTTAACAGTCTTTATCACAAAATGGTTTTAGGGGAATAAATAAAAGAATTAGTTTTTAGAAGCATATACATAAGCAAAACCCAGACCATTTACTATTCAAAGAAAAGACTTGTTTATTTGCCCCTTTTTGGACATATTTTGTACCATATGCTAAAGCGAGCCCATAAAACTGGTGTACTAGCAACCTCAAAGTTTTAGAATTTGTCCAAAATGTTTCTGTTCACCTTGACAAAAATTATTTATCATTATCCATTAATTTATTTAAATCCATCTTTTAATCGATTTGTCATCTTAGTATTTGTGACATGGAATAGTATAATAGTGCCTCATTGTACAACATGATCAAATGAAATGTTTCACTGAAAGGAATTTTCAGATTACTTAAGTTTATTATCCTCCCAGGCACCAAATTTTTCTTATTTTTTACCTCAATTTTTTTAAAAAGTCCGTATCTTAATAAACAGAGTATACCAAATATAATTTAATCTTGTAGAATAATAAAATTTTACAGGCATCATTGTAACACTTACTTAGGTCAGTCTTTGTTTTACGGATGAAGAGACTGAGTTTCAGAGAAGATAAAAGACTTGTCCTTGGTCGCATTGTGCCATAGTGGCAGATCCAGGACCTGAACCCTGTTCTCCTAACTCTTAGTAGAGCAAACTTTCCAGGGTACGATAATGCCTCAGATTTTTCAACATATATATTATTGTACTCTGCTCTTACAGTACAACTGAGCCAGAAAGGAAACGGCAATGTGCGACGTTAGATAACGAGAATGACCTTGGAAGTGTTGAGAAATGGCAAGTTTATCAATTGCGTGAGACTTGGCCATCTTTAATTAGACAGCTTTATCTTTAGAGCATTTGAAAGTATTATTTTGAGATAACCTTAGGAACTGTTAAAGTTTCTAGTACTATATGAGTCTATAATGAAAGGCTCAACTACTCTCCTTTTCTAATTACCTTCTGTTTTGTGTTTTGCTTCCAGCTGTCACTTCTCCTTGCTGTCTGCTTCTACCACCTGGTCTTATAGTCTCATGTAACTGCTTTTGTCTGTTTTCTGCTGTGATATAGGATGGAAAAAACTGGGCTAATGCTGGCTATGCCACTTACTAGTTTGCAATTTTAGGAAAGTTAATTAACTCCTCTGAGTCTTAATTTTATTATCTTAAAATTGAAGATTATAATAGCTCCTATTCTATAGGATTTTTGTGAAGAGTAGGTCTTTGTTAAAATGTGGAAACTGGAACTACTCTCAAGAGTTTCAAATACAAATGCTCTTTTCTGTTTTATTTCCCATATTTTCCTGTTACTAGACAACATTTAATTGACACTGTAGCTACAAAAGCATACTGGGCTTAGAACTTTAAGAAATGTCCCTGTAATATATTGTAACCATGAAGTTAGAGCCTGTCCCTTTTCATGGCATCACTTTATGTGGAAATGCCCATTAAGGAGATGACTGGTACCCAGGGACACAAAGGGGCACTTCTTGGTAGAAGGCAGCTGGCTGATGCATGAGTCCCTAATTGGTGTGCGTGATGAGGTGGTTACGGGCCAAAGCCTTACTCTCAGTCTTATAAGCTAAGAAACAGGACAAGATCCATTTTAGATAGACTTACATCATCCAAGTTCTCTGAAGCTGGTTTATAAAATATCACTTTACAACAAGAGCTGTAACTGGTAAGGGACTGAATCCTAGTTTCCTCTGGCCAACCAATTTTTCTCTCTACAAGCAAGCCTCAGGAAACCAGCTCACAATCAGCGTATACCAGTTTATTCATTTAAAGTAAGGTATACAAATGCCAAGGAACAGGACTTGAGCATCCTCCAGCCAGTACTTCCCTTTAGGCAAAAAAGCGCATGTGAAACCAGAGTATAATCTGAAGGTGAGCAAGCTTGGTGCCTACATCCACAGTAGGGCGGTAGCTGCCGCTGGAACTGGTCTTGGTTCAGGTTCTCTACCCTAGACATCAGGTCATTACTACCCACATTTGCCTTTTGACTCCTTTTTCTTGCTGACCACCCTACCTGCACTTCCATCTGAATAACTCTTTGGACAGATTCCTACATGCAGTCAGGTTGTACTCTAGACTTGCTGGCCTTGGAGCTTTTATGACTCTTACTTCTTTCCCTTTTTCTGCTTTGATCTACTTTATGTTAATTCTAAAGTTTTCTTGGGGGACATCTACTGTAGTTTCCATAAACACACAAAACTTGCTCTTCCAGTCACTAAAACTTATTTCCATTTTCTACTGATGCCAGATATCTTTCTTCATCTTCCTGAAGTTTATCCTTATCCACTTAAAATTTCAGTGTTTAAAAAAACTTAGCATAGAGGCTGACCCTGTGGCTGAGTGGTTAAGTTCGCGCACTCTACTTCGGTGGCCCAGGGTTTCACCAGTTCGGATCCTCGGTGCGGACATGGCACCGCTCATCAAGGCATGCTGAGGCGGCATCCCACATAGCACAACTGGGAGGACCTACAACTAGAATATACAACCATGTACTGGGGGCTTTGGGGAGAAGAAGAAGGAAAAAAACAAGATAATGATTGGCAACAGATGTTAACTCAGGTGTGAATCTTTAAAAAAAAAAAAAGCTTAGCATAAACTATATATTTGGAGATTCATCGTATCTCCCCTTTTCTAGGTGTTCTTTAAAAATATTAAGTCTGATCTCATTTAGAATCATAAAATGTTTAGCATATAAAGGGCAGAAGAGAGCATTATCTATCCGGTCAACTTCCTCATTTGATGAATGAGAAAAGTGAAGCAACCATAGCAACCATCATTTATCATGATCCTTTGTTTTATGTTCTAACTCCTCCGATCGAGCCAGTCTCAGTACACTTCCTTACAGTGTAAGTATGTGGATAAACCAGATAGTCTCCAAAGGTGATAAAGACTGAGTTAAAACTTTGATGTCTCTCTCTTTAGTCCTTAGAACCCTGGAAAACCTCAGAACATGCTAGAAGAGCCTGGCTCAGAGCACTTTTGGCATAATCTTTTTCCACATACCCTGTCACTTCCCTTTTCTCTTCCATTTCAAATCCTTGCATTTAGTTCTAATGCTGTGCAGTTTTTGGCAGATTAGAAACAAAGCAAAAACAGGCACAGTATCAAATAAGTACATTCCAACTTTTAAAGGAGTTTCTTAATTTTGGAATAGTACAGAAGGGAGAGTAAGATGCTTCATTTGCATCTTATTTCTGCAGATAGCCCAGTCTACCAGCAAGAAGCCTTTTTTCTCATGGACATTAACTAGCTTGGTATGTCTGCCTGTATTTTAGACTAATCACTCATTATATTACTAGAATATAGCCATTAAGAAATTCCTTTTAAAATAGCAATATGACAATCACGAATTCCACAGAAAGACGTAAATCTCATTATCTATGAAAGCAGTAATAATAAGATGATAGAGCACTGCTCAGTATCTGCTTCTTATAGATTAGTGCTCACATGTGCCTGCCTCGAAGATCTATATTAAGAAGAGTGAGTGAACATATTTTCTGCTGAAGCTGCTTTTGTATTTGCTCTTATGTGGCAAATGATACCTCCTCACAAACAAATCTCAAGTTTATTTACAACACATGGCTGGTCCTGGCCCATCTCTTTGAAGGAATCCCGGTGATTGCACAAGAAATAAATTTGCTCTTTATGAGTGTGACCTCTCTGGGCCGGCTGAGGCGCCGAGGGGAAGAGAAGTAGCGTGGAGTTGCCCCTTATACTGTCTATCCTTGGCAGCCTTTCATTTCCTCTTCTGTGGCCTGTCTCTGCCCCCTCGCTTCCCATGTTTGCCCCTGGGAACATACTGTCTTCCTGCCAGCATAGGGCTCTCCAAATCCCCCTCCAGCACACGCTCCAAGGCTGCTTGACCTGATCTGTGGCATTTTGTGCCTCTTAATTAGATCATGTAATTTAGAACGACCTTTTTTCTTTCTGCTACTTCTCATGAGAACTTCCATCTTCTTAGTG